CAGCTTACATTAAAAACTGTTTTGTAAAAATTGTAAACTTACTCAGAAGCCATGGCTACCATCTGCATGATGGCTCATTTCTTTGGCTTCTCCCCGCAGTGCCCTTTTTTCCACAGCTGTTTATTTAAGAATTGCTTTGTTGCCCATCTATTGTACTTCTATTTTTTGTTTTCACTGCAGCATGCTGCCAAGGGATAAGTCGCTCTACCTCACCTAAAACCTGACATCACTTTTAAATAAGCGTCAAATGAAGGACACTTGAGAGGGTCTTGAACATGGACCACCTAGAGGGACATCAAGCAAGTCAGATAGGCAAGAGAGTTGAGCTAATGCACCTCATCGCTGGCTTCATTTCCAGGCTCTAAGAGAAGTTTTCTTTCATTATTTTAAACTCTAAAGTCTCCTTTTTGTGGAAGCCCAAACCTCATAAATCATGAAAAAGAAAAAAAAGTACAAAAAGCAAAACAAACAAAAATGTATAAGGACACAGTTTTTCTGCTTGCCATCAGCTTAGCTATGGACTCTTTTCCTAGTGAACTGCTTTTAGTTGCAGCATAGACAAGGATCTGGTGTCTTGAAACATTAGGCCAGCTCAATAGGAGGATGCACTCTTGACTTGCTAACAGCACTAAACTCTGTGCAAAAAAAATGTGAAATTTGTGTGAATATTGTATATGCAAAGGCCTTGGATGTCTGACAAAAAAAGTAAAATAAAATAAAAAATTAAAATTATTCCTAGGTATGTGGGTGGACAGAGCAACTGGCAAAATACAAGAAGGAAAATGTGAAAAAGATAATGACAAATATAATTTGATGGATAGTTGTAAGTAGTTTACTAAGTGTTTTAGAACTGTGCTAAAGACATCTTTAAGATTTTTTTGTGAAAAAAATTAGTAGTTTACTTTATAGTAAAAGCATTTTATATTAATTGTAGCACATTTTTTTAGTTATACATAGAAGGGAGATGTGTATAAAAAGAAAACAACAACAAAGCCTGCCAAACTTGTTTCTATTATTTGTACAGCAAGAAATGGACAATTTATATCTATGTTGTATGGCATTATTATATTTTTTTCAGCCATATGTCCATCTATTTAAAATTGCTGACAATGATTTTGTCTATTTATGAAGAATTAGAAAGCATAATTACAGCTTATCATAAGGTGCATTTGGGGGTTTTTTTTAAATTTTTTCAGTGGTGCTGTTTTCTCAGCACCTGCACACTCAGTTCACAATGCTTATTTTAACTTTCTTTATAATAAAATATATGAAAAGTAGAAATAAACCAGTCTCTTCCTTTGTTTTGCGGGCAGCATTAACTCACTGTGGCAAAGGTTTTACTTTTACGCACAGTCCTATTTGACTTCAATATAGGACTAAATTATGACCAGTGTGACAAGGATTCACTTCAGAATGAGCTGAGCTATTGGTCTGACCCTGGCTGTAGCTTATTTCCAGAAAAACAAGCTCAGCTAAAAGGAAACAAAGGGTGAAAATACAAAGCAGTTTTAGGGCCTGTTACACATTAATTTTGGGCAGCTTCTGGAGCTCTTAACCACCAAATTGTCCACAAGTTAACACCTTTAAGTGGTTTAAAGCACTTGTTTTGTAGCTCAAAGTTATGCCACTCAAGGGCAGAATTATCTCTGATCCACACAACCCAGCTCCTGTTCCATTCATGTGTGGCTCTTCCCCATAGATGTGCCACTCAAGTTGAAGTCCTCCAATATCCCAGGATACAGTGGTCCTGTCATCCACCTTCCTGTTCTGTGGGCTTTCACACACTTGGCTGTTTAGTGGAGTGGCCCTGGGATTGGAGCTGCAGGTTTTCTAGTACCTCCAGCCTCTAGCCCCCCAGTCCAGGAACAGTGGCCTGGGGTACCTTTCCTGATCAGCACTGAGTCCAGTGCTGGACCCAGTACCCTCCCCACCCCTGCCTAGCCCTGGGTAATGGAGAAGAGCGAGGCCATCCCCAAAGAGCCCTCAGACCTGACTGGGCATCAGCAAACCCCAATCTCCAGCCCTATGGCTCCAGAAGCACCCTGCTCCATGCACCTGATTCACATGCAGCATGGTGAGAGGTAGCACTGGCTGCTGTGGGGTCAGGGGCAGCTTGCTGATGGAGAAGCCACTGCTCTAGGATGGAGCAGCTGCAGGTGGATCTGGTTTGTGGGCACAGGGCTCTGCCACCGCCTGTGTGGATGCGGAAGCTGGCTTCTGGCAGACACTACTCTCAGCTGTGGAGTGAAGCCAACTTGGGGGGCGGGGAGCTGGCTGCACCAGCCACTGCCGTAGTCCCCAGCCCTGTGCTTACCACTCTGACCTCTGCCACCACCACAGGCTTTCCAGTGCCACTGCCTGGGCCTCCCCCTACCCTGTGGCCGCTGCTGTGTCTGTCTACTCTCTCTATACACTGCTGGGCTGCCCCACTGGGCCCCGAGGCACCAAGGAAGGGTAGAGGGGGTGGGGGGGCAGTGGATACAGGCCAGAGTTGAGGTTGAAAACCACAGTGTCTTTCCACTTGATGGATCTTCATACATTCCTGCAGAGATACAAGAGGGTTTTAAAGAACCAAATTCCAAATTGGGGTGCAGCCACAAAATGGGTCAGAGTGGCAGGACAGCTAAGCAAGGGTGATGATTGATCATGTTTAATATTACAATAGCTCCATTTAAGAATAGTTTGAATAGTTGGCCTGGCCATGTCTATAATCCCTAACAAACATAAGAATTCTAGGTGTGTCTACAAGTGCAAATGCCATATGATGCAGTAAGTAATCATAAGTATATTTCCTGCTTGTATTTACAGGTAGCAAATTTGCTCATGATTAGAGCAAATTGCTGTGCAGTAAGCATTTGAACATATAGACAGAGATGCTTACTTGGCAGTAATTTTTTCTAATCTCTAGTAAGGCATCTTGGGTAAACGTGCCCTCTGTTGTGAAATAAAGCAGCCACACTTCAAAGAAAACCAGAAAAGCAAGGGCTGCCTGTTAGGCCTGTGCGAATAGGCAGCTATTCGATTTGGCTACAGATCCAGCCACAATCAGCTCAGTTTCCTGCTTTGATTCAGCCAAAGCAGCTCAAAAGCTTGCTAGAGCTGGGGCACCTTACCTGCTGGCCTCACCATCTCGTAGGGGACCCTGGAACCCAGCAAAGAGCCTCTACTGCTGGTCGTACGCCGTACTGCTGAGGGTCCAACTGCTGCCTGCAGGTCCCACTCCTTCAGACTCTTCTGGGGCAACTGCTCCCACCCCATTGGCCCAGCTCTCACCAGCTCTTTGAAACTCCTTCCTTGTGGTCCCTCACTGGTCTCTCCTGAGGCAGCTGCGCTGCTCTTTTATCCCTCTCCAGGTGACCCAAGGGGCCAATCATGGGACATGGAGGGTGAGTGTCTGGGGCCTGATTGGTGAGGAAAGGGAATCCCAAGCCCTCCAATCATCTTTTACCCTTTCAAAACCTCTGGGCTAAATCATTACCAACTAGCCCGTCACGCTTGATTATACAAGTTCTCAATAAATGTGCAGTAACCACTGCACAGTGGTGTCTCGTGTAGATGCTTCCAGTAGTTCTTTTTTTAAAAAAATTTTTTCCATCTTCACGCAAGAGGCAAGGATTTGCTAGGGTGATATCTTTTGTTGGACCAACTATGTCCTTTAGATAGAGTTAAAAAAGCTTTTGAATGCAAGATATTCATGACATTACACCAGGAGAGCATTACGGTTGTTTGGGGATGCAATCCCAGTAATTACAGAACATATCTAGGTTTACTGTTTTCCACAGAGCAATCAATGCAGTTGGGTCAGCCTAATGGAATGGCATGTCCTTCCAGACCAGACAAGCCATGGTGGCTAAGGCATACCAGTGTCTTAGCCAAGAGCACACAAGGAAGGGATGTGGAGAGCACCACATCAGGCCACTTTTGGCTCCCCAGCCTGAACAATCACATCCCCATTTACAGGTGGGTCAACTTGGGCGTAATCTGTAGTTCAAGCTGAGAACAAAGCTTAAACTCAAACCTCGGAAGGCCTAGCAAGTCACCATAACTGCTCTGCCATCCAGTCACAATGAATCCCCCTTACAGGATTATGCTCTTACTTGAATTTTTAACCGTTCCCTTTTCTTATTTATATGAATCCTTGAAATGAAAACTATTCCTATCAATCTTAGTTTTTTTATATATATTTATGCATGTTATGCACTGATTCATACCACTCTTCACCTCAGTCTGGTAACTTCTTGCAATGAAAACAAACAAGAACTCTTTACCTTTTATCTCTGGCCACCACTGTCAGTGTGTCTGATGGTCTCTGTGAAACACAGTAACTCATTTCGGTAAAACTTTAGCAGCCTTTTCCGATGGGCCAGCCTCTACTCACAAATATTACCTTCTAGGTAGGATGGTAATTCCTTGAGCCTTGCTATTGTATGTGGGCATGACCTGGTGTTCTGGTATATCTTCAGCTATGGGGTAACCACATATATTTTACAGAATCTATGCAGGTCAAGAATTCATCCTGCTATCAGTTTATTAGAAAATCTATAATGTTACCAGTTTCTGATGTTGGCATAATATTAAAAGTACAAGTTCTTTCAACTGAAGATATTTACTTTCTCTGTGTGTGAAAGAGAGAAAACTGGAATGCAGTAAGAACTCCATCACAAAACTGTCCATTACAGTATTAATATAATTAATTCAGAAGTTCCAGTCCTCTTTTGTCTATTCCTTTCACACCCCCACCCCTCTGTTATGAGAAATAACAAATGAGGTGTAAAGCTGTTAGGTCCTGTTATTCCTCCAATCAAACACAATGGCCATGTATTTTAATCCTGATGCTGGTATAAATTAAAATAAATCTGGCTGTCCTATACCAGTGAAGAAAAATGTAAATGACAGTCAAATCACTGCAGAAATCAGCATTATTTCCTCAGTGTGACTAATGGCAAGTATATTCACAATGACTGCAGAGGTCTGGCCAAGAGGGAAGAGCTTTTGAGTAAGACAACAAATGTAAAACTCTTTCATGATGATGCTCTGTGTAACCCTGCATCCATGAATCATCCCTTTTACCACTAGTGATCTGGATCCCTTTTAAAATTGTACCTGGGAGACTGTAGCAGGACACTAAGGTGCCTGCTACTTTTGGGAGCAATGAGGAAAGAGCCCAGGTGCGGGTTGCTAGGCAACTGGAGGTAGCCAGTGACTCTCACCTGTTAGCGGTCAGCTGACCATGAGGGGAAAGGTCCTGGCTCCCATTTAAACCCCAGGGCTGAGGCCTGGTGGGCAGTTTCCTGCTGGCAGTCAAAGGGGAAGGAACTCTGCTGGAATGATAAAAAAAGAAGAGGCCTAGATGCATGAGCAGTTTGGTACAGGTGAAGGATAGAGCACCCTTGGAGTGGCTCAAGTGATGTTTTAGCCAAGTGTCATAAATTTATGTTATAGCCTAGAGGCTTGAGTTTTGTGTTTGTCATTCAACCAGGTTTGGGTGAGGCTACTAGGGGTTGGAGGAGGCCTCATACAGGACCCACGGCAGTGTGGAGATCCCAGCCCCAGAGAAGGGGGCAGCAAGAAGC